AAGTTGTACGTGGTCAGATGACATGCGAAAGTTCGCTTCTTCAATTATTGAATAATTTGAACCTTAATTGAAAATTAAATGGTTAATCAAACTTCTGAAAAATATATTTCGAATTCAAATCAAATGGTTAATCAAACTTCGAATGAATATTATCTAGATCAAACTCCAAATCAGCATCAGCACCAATCGATTTTTATTTGTCCTAATAATAACAAGAATCAAGATAACAACAATAATAGAAGATTTAACTGGCAGATTGGAGTGGCCATTGTTTCGTTAGCATTAGTTTGCTTATTTATTATTAAGGTAATTAAAAAACTTAATCTAATTAATTAGCATTGTATTTTTAACCCATTTTTATTTGAATAGGGTTATCTGAATAATGTTAGTGTTAATGAAGTTTTAACATACGTAAGTATATTTGTAATGTCTTGCTGATATTTCTGTATATAAACGAATCAATTCTAATTATATTGCATTGTTATTAGTCTAACGAAAGATTATTCGATATTATGGAAACCAAAATTTTTGATTATGTAAGCGTTCTTCATATTTATTCATAATTAAACGTAATCATTCTAATTATTGTATATTGTATAGAGAAATTTTTGGAATACAAGAACCCTCGAATCGGAGAATACAAATTTAAAGGTAAAAAATACGGCACTTGAATCCGAAAATACAAATTTAAAAGTAGAAAACGCGGAACTTAAATCAAGAAACGTAGCTCTCGAAGAAAACAATGCGGATCTTAAATCAAGAAACTCGGCCTTTGAACAAAGCAATGCGGACCTTAAATCAAGAAACTCTGCTCTCGAACAAGACAATGTGGAACTCAAATCAAGAAACGTAGTTCTAGGAGAAACCAATTTGGACCTTATAACAAAACTTACGGTTAGCAAAAAAGAACTTGAGACCGTCAAAGAAAGTAATATAGATCTTAAAATGAAACTTACTAAGACTGAAGATGAACATATTGTCGCGGATTATGATGAAATCGGATCATCGTGAAATCTAAGGCCTTAATTTAAAAATATAAGCCCTCACAACCCTAACAAAACCCACTTAT